CTTGGAATCTCCCTGTTGCCCTCTCTTGGTGACAGTTCTATAATTTCTCTATACAAGGCTCAAAATATCCCTCAGGACTATACTGCCACTCCCATTGTCCCTTAGACATCCCTCTTTTATTATTATTATTATATTTGATTGTGTATTTGGTGAAAGTTTGCACGGCAAATTCAGTTCCTGTTTAACAATTTGTGTATGTATTTGCGCAGTGACATTGGTTACATTTTTCACAATGTGTCAACATTCTCACTAACTCTATTCTGGGTTTCCATTTCCATTAGTCTAGTCTCCCTGCCCACCCCTCTTACATTCTTGTCTTTGCTTTAGGATAAATGTTGACCATTCAGTGTCATATAGATGACTTTTTAAAGGACAACAGTACTTCACAGATGATATTGCTTATTTAATGATCCAGTCTGTTATTTAGCTAAAAGGTGACCTCTGGCTGTGGTCTCAGGACAAAGTTGAAAGGATACCTCAAGGTGATAGTCTCAGGGGTTCCTCTAGTTTCTATCTGTCCTTTTTTTAAGAACTTGAGTTTTGTTATACATTTTTCTCCCAATATATCTAGGACCATCTATTGTGTTCCTGGTCAGAATGGTTGGTAGTGGCAGCTGGGCACCATCTAGTTCTGGTCTCAGGTTAGATGAGGCCATGGTTTGTATAGGCTATTAGTCCTATAGACTAGTTTCTTCTTTCAGCTTTTGGTTTCTTTCTTTCTCTTTTGCTCCAGATGAGTAGAGATTAGTAGTTGAATCTTAGATGGCCACTCACAAGCTTTTAAGATCCAGATGCTATCAACTAAGATGTAGAGCATAAAGTTGATGAACTATGTTATGCTAATTGACTGAGTTGTCCCATCAAACTATGGTCTTATGCCTTCAAACCTAGTAAGCCAATCCCACAATGTGTTTTGTTATGTCTAGGAAGTATCTGTAACTGTGCCTCCTATGTGCTTAATTATATATATGAATAGATATGTCACACACACATACACATACATACATATGCCTACAGATATGTCTATATGTTCAACCATAAATCCACACATATACCTTCCTCAATAGATATATACATACATATCTACCTATGTAACCACACACGTTTTTTGGTTGTTATTGCAAAATTGTATATAACATTTACCAAAAATGTCCCTTATTCTTGTGTACATCTAAGTCTCATCATTTACCTTGGTCAAGTTGTGTACACTTCATCCCTATCTAGTATTGCCTTTCTCATCACCAAAAATAACAAGTGTCTAATCTCTAGAGAGTGGTTACCCCTCTCTCCTCCTCCCATCCCTGTAACCATCAATGACCGTTGATTTCTGTACATACAGTTATCTTGTCTAAACCAAAACCAAAACCAAACTCACTGCGATCAAGTCAATTCTGACTCAGTGACCCCCTTTGGGTTTCTGAGGTGGTAAATCTTTATGGAATTAGATTGCCCAGTCTTCCTTCTATGAGGGTTGGCCCTGGCTCTCTGAAATCATAGATACATGATTTTTTGTTAGCATTTCTTTCTTTCAGAGCTTTGTATATGTCATCCCATTCACTTCTTGCTTGCATGGTTTCTGATAAGAAATCAGCACTTAGTCTTACTGAGGCCCCTTTTTAAGTTATTTTGTTTTTCATGAGTGGCTCTCAAAATTCTCTCTTTGTCTTTGGTTCTAGAAAGTTTGATGATATATCTTGGTGAATTTCTTTTGGAGTCCATTGTGTATGGGGTTTTTTAAGTTTCTTGGATGGAAACTTTCTCATCTTTCAAGACATTTAGGAAATTTTCTGCCATTATATCTTCAAAAATTCTCTCTGTACTCTTTTTCTCTCTTCCCCTTCTGGAGTTCATAATATGTGTACATGTAGTCTCTGACTTATGCCATATTTGAGTTAAAATGAGCCATACTTATGACTGTACTTTTTTTGGTACATGTTATGGTTAATACAATATTGCATTGCTTAAAATGCTGATGTTATCATTCTCAGATATTCACTCACAGATGTTCAATTTTATACTTTACTGTTACAAATACTGCTTTGTTTGAAATGAAAATAAACAAAATGTGGTATTTGACTTCTGTCAGAACCAACTTACAATGAAGACATTGGAATGGAATCCCATCATAAGGCAGGGACTATCTGCATATTATTCCTCTTGATGGTGTCCCATATAACCCTTAGGCTTTTGCTTTCTTCAGTCTTTTTTCTGAGTGCTCCTCAAATAAATTAGCATCAAGGGATTTATCTTCTATTTTACTGATTCTTCCTTCCATTGATTCAATTCTTCTGTGGCCCTCAATTGAATTGTTTGTTTCTATTATTTCATTTTTAATTTTCCCAATTTCTAGTTGTTTTTGTATGGTTTCCGTTTGTTTTCTTGAGCTTGTCATTTTGTTCTTATATTGTTTTCCTGAATTCTTCTAGGGTTTGTGCATGTGTATATGTGCGTTTTCCTTGATCTCTTTGAGGAGGCTAAAAATTAGTCTTTTGAATTCCTTGTCAGGCAATTCTATTATCAATTCTTCCTCAGAAAATTTTTTGCCCATTATTTTGCTCATTTGCTTGAAAAATCTTATCCTGTTTCTTGATTTGTAATTGACTGCTGTCTTCAAGACATTAAGAGACTATTTTATTTGTTTTTCTATTTCTTTATTGATTGTATGTTTGTTTGTCTTTTGTTTTGTTGGTTTTAATATATCTGGAGCTTAGTTTTTTCCTTTGTCTTTATATTATCTACCTTCCTTGTACTGTTTTAACCGATGTTGCTTTGTTGGTCTGTATATGACTATGATGCTGCTGGTGGTTGAGAGTAATTTTCTCTCACTGGTGGGCATGATGAATCATACACACATGGGAATTCTCTGTCACTAGGCACGTATGACTTCCCTTGTAGGCTTGCATGGAGGTGTGTGAACAGGACCCTTCCCTGTTGTGGGGCTCCAGGTATCAAGTGGTCAGTATCCCTTCATAGTTCTTGTGGAGCTGTGTGGTCCTTCCACATTGGTGTATCTGTCAATGTGGCCTCTGGAAAACAGGATGGGTTGCTTTCACAGACCCAGGGATATAGTACAACTCTAATGAATGAGGCAGTCCCTCTGCTTAGTTATGGGTGGTGTCCTAGTAATGGAGGGAGAATTAGGAGTCTCTGTGTATGTACAGGTGGCCTGGGAGAATAGATAGAGTGTGGGAGGTGTGCATAGTGGGCAGGTTGCTGAGGGCACCTCGTCTTGTGGGTTGGATGTGGTGCATGGTGGGCTCACGCTGAACAAGGTGAGTAGTGAGTAGCAAGAACATCTGGGTGTCTTGCCACACAGTCCAGGTGGGGTGTGCTGTGGGCTCAGGCCAGGTAAAGGGAGTGGTAGGCAGTTCTCTGGGACTCCTTTCCATGTGGCAGATGCCCCTCTTACTTGTCTCTTTTGCTCATGGAACCAGAAGCTCTTAGGGAAGGCTGAATTTCCTAGTGGAACTTTGGAACTTTTCATGGTCAGGCCAGGGGATCAAATGTGTTAGGGAGGTGCAAGGAGCATGGGGGTGGCAAGAACAGCCAGAAACCACATGTGCCTGATTAAGCAACTGACTTTCCCATCTGGGAATTAGATGCAAAAGCTTTATTTTACTCATTGACAGCAGCAAGGATGACATTACTCTGTGGGAAGATGGCATGTGGGACCTACAAGAAGATGTGAATCTGTCAGCTGAAGAAATAACATTTTTGAAAGAGTTTCATCTACTGAAACGTGAGCTCGAAGAGCACATCAGCAAGCTCCATGCCCTTGCAGACCATATGGACACAACCCATGAGACATTCACCAAAACCAATATGGTGATCAATTCCATTGCTCTTGCCTCTGGAGTCATGAGCATCCTGGGTTTAGCCTTACCTGGAGCAACATTAGGAGGAAGCCTGGTGCTGACTGCTGCTGGTAAAGGTCTGCAGGCAGCAGCAGGGGCCACCAGCATCTTGACCAGCATTTGTGAGCACTTTCACAATAAGAAAGCCCAAGCTCAGGCCAGCACCCTAGTTCCCACCTATGGCCGAAGGGAGAGGGAGACTGAAGGAAAGGAGGTATCCTACGTCATGGCTGTTGGTCAGGCTGCCTACGAGTGTAGAAACACCATCAAGGATATCAAGAAGAACATCCATGCCTTTCAGAGAGCCAGGACCAACCCGCACTTGGCTGCTGTCACCAAGCGGCTCCTGACCACTGGCAAAGTCTCAACCCAAACGACCAGGCAGGTGCAAAGAGCCTTTGAGGGCACCACACTGGTGATGATCAAAAAAGCCCGCCTGCTGGGCATTGCAAAGGCTGGTTTATTCTTTGGCATTGATTTAGCCACCCTTTTGAAAGACTGGAAGCATCTAAAGGAGGGGGCAGGGACAGAGGCTGCCAAGGCGCTGAGGGCCCAGGCTCAGGAGCTAGAAGATCTGCTGACAGAACTTACCCAGGTCTACAAGAGCCTGAAGCAACAGCTAAAACCCAGATTTCCCTCTCAGGTGAGGCTGGGGAGGGTGAAGGAGCTTATCTGGGGCTGATGGAGACCAAGGAGCCCCCGGGTGATGCAAACAATTAAGTGCTCAGTTGGTAACTGAAAGGTTGGGGGCTCAGATCCATCCAGAGGTACCGCAGAAGAAAGGCCTGGTGAAAAGTCAGACGTTGAAAACCTTATGGAGCTCAGTTCTACTCTGACACACATGAGGTCACCATGAATTGGATTTCACTCAATGGCAAGTATTTTTTCGTTTATTTGTATTGGGAACTGAAGTTCATGGGAAAGCTGTCAAGACAGCTCATGTGTATGTAGGTTTTGTCTGGATGTTTCCAAGGACATGGGGCATTCGGTGGCACTGGAAGTCCCAATGGTATCAAGTACACCTGGCCTGGATAGACCATGTCATGTCTTTTATTTCTCCCTGGATACTCTTTGAGGTCTATGTGCTGGGGAGAGGGTCCTCACAGTTTTACAGAAGAGGACTCTAAGCTAACAGTGGTCTATGTGACTTGCCCAGTTCTCACAGCTTGTTGGGACAGAGTCAGGATTACAAACCCAAGAAGTCTGACTTCAGAGCTTGGCCTATGATGCTGTACCCCAGGTCTTTGTAGCAGCTCTCCTGGGATTGGTGTTTTTGTTTCCCTACAGGAATTCTTGCAAGAAAAAAGCCTTATAAACTCCACTTTTGAGAGAGGCATGAATCTGCCTCAGCCTGTGGAGCCTGACCTGGAGAAGCAGGATGCCAAGTGAGAGGCAAGGAGGAAGGTAGGCTGAGGCCATGGACCTCAGAGCAGAGCAAAGGGGACCAGGATGGGGCAGGCAAGCCTGGCAGAGGAGACACCTGAAAACTCACTACCTGGGAAGTCCAAGTGGGTCTCACCATTGAGGAAAGCAAGTCCACCCAAAAGGGCAACATCAGCCTATGCTGATCCAGCCTATCCCCTCTCCCTCACTTCCCTCTCATTCCTTCACTCACATGCTACGTCATTTGTTCCACTTCTTCAGTCCTCTATTCACTCACTCGCACAGTCAGTCTACGTTAAACCTGCACTGTCTGATGCCAGGCCCTATATTAAGTTGGGAGGGCCCTGAGGTGAAGGGTGTTTTGTGTTCGTAACTCACCTTGCAGTTACCTCTGTGTTCTCTCTTCCTCCCTCACTCTGGCTGTGATTGCTGGCAAAACTCCTGGGCTTAATAAAACACACATGGACATCCCTAGGACCTGCTCAACCAAAGGCCAGTGGGAAGGGACAGCCTGGCAGCCCCGTGTCTTCCCCATGGCCCAAGTCCTTGGAGCAACTTCAGAACGTCAGAACCTGTAGAAACTCTCTTGGCTCACTGGTTTACCTATCATCTATTATATATTTTTTTTTTCCTTTACAATATGCTTTAGTCCCTATTTGAAAAATAGTGCATGCACAGGCTGAATGACCAGGTATGTCTAGTCCCGGGGGTAAGTGTGCCCATGGCCATGTATAGGGTTGGCAGACAATGTTTCTACATTTGTGTATTGCTGTAAGAATGTCCAGTGTATACTCCTTGGAGAGAATAATCATGGAAGAAAGAAGGACTGCTTATGCACAGGGAGACAGCTCAGGGGGCAGGAGTGCATGGAGGGGTGGACACAAGGAAGAGGTAACTATAGGGAGGAAGTGGGAGGGGAGCTGTTGCATTGTGGGAAACTGAAGTCAATGTCATGAGACAAAGTGTATGTGAGTTGCTGTATGAAAAGTGAATTTGCTCTGTAAATCTTCTCCCAAATCACAATTAAAAAAAAAAAAAAGAATGCCCAGTGTGTAGTAGAGCTGACAAGGGGAAAGGTTGTGGTGGCTTCTTGGCCACAGCCAGCAACCCGGAGGGAGCAAGTAGTTGGACCCTTGGGCTCGGGACTATGGTCACAGGGGACATCAAGCTCAATTGGCATAACATACTATGCAAAAACTTTGTTCTACATCCTACTTTGATAAGTAACAACTGGGTTCTTAAAAGCTTGCAAGTGACCATCTAGATGCAACAATGGATCTCTCCTCATACAGAGCAAAGAAGAATGAAGAAAACCAAAGACTCATGGAAACAATTAGTCCAAGGGACTAGTAGCATGTTATCCTCAGCCTATATGACTGTGAGATCAGAACTAGATGGTGCCTGGTTACCACTGTCAACCACTTGGAAAGGGATCAGTGCAGGAGATCCTGGATAGAGTGGGAGTACAACGTGGAGCAAAACTCCAAATCGTAAAAAAAAGACCAGGTTTACTGGTCTGATAGAGCCCCGTAAGACTCCCAAGACTATGGCCCCTAGTTACCCTTCAGGTCTGGAACTGAACTCACTCCTGTGGCTTCCAGCCAAACAATAGACAGGTATATGGGGTGAACATTGACATCAGGTAGATACACTCCTTGGAGATTGTGGGAGAACAGAGGGGTAGTGTTTGCACAGGAAGATAGCTGGGGGAGGGTAGTTAGTGCATGGGGGGGAAGGACACAGAAAAGAGATAACTACAATGAGGCAGTGGGAAGAGAGCTGTTACGTCGTGAGGACTTGCAGTCAATGTCATGAAACAAAATGTATATGCACTGCTGTATGGAAAATGAATTCGCTGTGTAAACCTTCACCCAAATCACAATAAAAATTAAATAAATAAATCAAATAAATAAATGAAAAGTAGTGCATGCATATTAGAGAACAGTTTTGGAAAATTCGGAAAATGAAAAAAGAGAGGGAAGCAATAACACTGCAATGAAGGGTGACGGCTGTGGTATTGTGGCAAAGCCTCTTCTTCCTGCACCTGTCTTGCTTTGGGGGTTGTAGCGCTGGGCATTTGTAGTTGTCATTAGACTGCCTGCTGGGGACCGTCCCTCAAAGCCAGTTTATGAAAGAGACGCAATGCACCCAGCTTCCTTTCTCACAGGTTCCCAATTCCCTCAATGACCTACAAAGAGGTAATTTCCCATCCTGCTATTTCACTCAACATTTTCTGCCATTCAATGCATTGTTTTTATAGACACCATTTTTCTATGTTGCAAAATGTTACCTTGATTGTATGTGCACTCTTTTAATTCACTTGTTTTAGTCACCAATTTGGCTGCTAAACAAAAGGTTGGCAGTTTGAACTCACCAGCCACTCTGCAGGGAGAAAGATGAGGCAGTCTGCTTCCACAAAGATTTACAGCCTTGGAAACCCTATGAGGCACTTCTGTTCTGTCCTATGGGATTGCTATGAGTCGTAATCAACTCAATGGCAGTGGCTTTGGGGTTGTTTTTTTTTTCCCCTTTTAAGTGGTCAAAACTAACTCACACTGGCTTAAGCAACAAAAGGAATGAATGGGGTTCAGGGTCCCTGGGTGGTCCAAACAGTGCATTTGGCTGCTAACCAAAAGGTTGGGGGTTCAAGTCCATCCAGAGACACCTCAGAAGGAAGCCTTGGCAATCTACTTCTGAAAACTCACCACTGGAAACCCTCTGGAGCACGGTTCCACTGATACACACATGAGGTCGCCCTGAAGCAGTCAGCCCCACAGCCAATGAGGTTCTTGCGGGGCTTCAGGGGTGTCTGGGTCCGAGGACAGAACAGTATGATCAGGCTTCTGTCCTTCCCTCTCTCAGAAAGGCTTTTGCACATGAAGGTAAGAAGGTCCCAGCATCTCCAGATGCACCTCCTTCAGCTTAGTGCGCCCAATGGAAAGGGCAGAGAAGCTTCCGTTCAGAGTGTTCGGTGCATCAGCAGAGACTGACTCTGATCAGGACCAGGTCACAGTTCTTTGTTGGGATGGGCTCTTGGGGACCATAGGCCATGAGTTCCCCACGGGAAAGAGGAGAAGGGAGCAAGGAGGTACATGATAAAAATGCAATACAATACACACTATTTACTCCTCCCTTCTCATAAATGGGAGCTCTGGTGGCGGAGTGCCTGACGTTCTTGACTGCAAACCAGAAGGTTGGCGGTTCAAACCTACAAGCCACTCCTTGGAAGGAAGGTTGGGCGATCTACTTCGGTAGAGATACTGCCTGGGAAACCCAAGGAGGGGTCGCTATGAGTCAGAGATGACTTGATGGCATATAACAACAACAACAAGAACATCTCATAAATATTTAGATTATTTCTAACTTTTTATTATACATAGTGGTGAGGTGGATCTCTACGTGTCAAGAGCTTTTTTGTATGATTTTTAGGATTCTTCTTTTAAAATAAGGCGCTCTGGTGGTACAGTGCCTAAGGCATTTGACGGCTAACCAAAAGGTTAGTGGTTCAAACTCACCAGCTGCTCTGCGGAAGGAAGATGAGGCAATCTACTTCTGTAAGGATTTACTGCCTCAGAAACCCACTGGAGGTCTCTATGAGTCAGAATCAACTCAATGGCAGTGAATTTGGTTTGGTTTTTCTCTTAAAATACAGTGCCCAAACTGTGCTACGGTCCCTAGGTAACACAAATGGTTTATGCTCAACTGCTAACCTAAAGGTTGGTGGTTTGAACTGTATTAGAGCTTAAATTCTAAAGCACGTGGTTTGTGGAAGGCTGTGGTCTGCAGTGGGACCCTAACTCTAGTTTGGGACTTGACATAAGTTTCAGACGCCATTTGGGTTCTTTCTGACCATAAACCAGCATTGTGGCTATGCTTAGGCAAATTCTGGTGGCATAATGCCTAAGGTATTTGACTGCTAACCAGAAGGCTGGCGGTTCAAACCCGCCAGCCACTCCTCTGAAGGAAGATTGGGCAATCTACTTCCAAAGAGATACCACCTCGCCTCGATTCAACTCCACAGCAGTAAGATTGGTTTTTGGTTTTTTATAGATAAGTTCCAGGACAAATTCAGGGAGGGCCAGTTTGCCTTCAGGAAGAGTGTGGCTGAAAGCAGATTATGCTCCCACAGAGAACTAGGGAAATTGCCTGAGTGTGTCCTTTTCTAATTTAAATTGAGCCTGGGGTCCTAGTATTGTTTGGTAATGTGGCTAAGACTCAGGCCCCATGGTCACAAGTCACAGCCTATCTGGACCACCACCTGGCCAGGTAGTCAAGGCCCAGAACCAACCCTGTAACTCATCTTCAGTTATGGACGTATCCCAATCATGGCCTTTCCCCATCTCCACCCCACCCCCACCCTCACTTCTGTAGTCCTGCCTGCAACAATGACAAAGTGATCCACCACCAATCATGATTTTGTGATGATCCCCTTCTTTTCAATCATATAGAATAGCCCCATGGCCGAGACTCAGTGGACTCCACTTAACTTTCGGTACTGTGTACATGCTGACGGTTTCCCTCATCCTGGATGAGGGTCTTTGTTCTATCCAAGGCTTAATAAAGGTGTCTCTGTTGAACCGGTTTGAATCTGGGGTCTCTTCTCCTCTGTTACAGAATCCAGCCAGAGGGTCCAGAGAAGAAAGACAGTCTGCTCTGTAAAGATCACGGCCAAGAAAACCCCATGGAATGGTTCTACTCCGTACCCATGGGGTGGTTGTGAGCTGGAATAGACTGAATAGCAACTAACAACAGCAACAAACTGAGATACTGCAACTAAGGAGAATAAGCTTATAGAGGGAAGGAGGAGTCTCTCCCACATTACAAAGGTAAACTATGTCATAGGAAATTTGGAACAGATTTTTAAAGTACAGGGGAAAGAGAGCCCCTACCAACATTCTGGGGTATAACCAGAGTAGAATGGGCCCTAATCCAATTGACTGGTGTCCTTATGCAAAGAGCAAGTGAGACACAGACATGGAAAGAACATGACCATGTGAAGATGGAGA